CGGTGCCGTGGGGCAGCGGCTCTGGGTGTCGGTGGGGAGGGGAGTGCCCCGGCCCGAGAGGGACCCGGCGAGCAGGACGGGCGCTCACAGGGGCCAGAGAATCTCCATAGCCAGGTCCCCCTCCGGCTTGAAGGTGACAGTGGTGATGGACGACTTCATCCCATCCTTCATCTTCAGGAAGACGGAGCAGTTGGAAGCGGTGGCTATGACATGCCACGTCCCTGCAAACTGCAGCAGGATGTCACCGGTGGGGTCTGGGAAAGCCGAGGGGACCTGTCACCTGCCAGGAACCTGCCACCCACCACGGGGGACCTGCTAGCTTGCGGTGGGGGACCTGCCACCCTCTGTGAGGACCCATCACGCTCTGTGGGGACCTGCCAGCCTGCAGTGGGGGACCTGCCACCCACCACAGGGGACCTGCCAGCCTGCGGTGTGGACCCACCACTGTCTGAGGGGACATGTCAGCCTCTGTGGGGACCTGCCAGCCTGCAGTGGGGGACCTGCCACCCACCACGGGGGACCTGATAGCCCCTTGTAGGGACCTCATAGCCTATTGTAGGGACCTGCCAGCCTGCTGTGTAGGACCCACCACCATCTGTGGGGACACGTCACCCTGTGTGGGGACCTGCCAGCCTGCAGCAGGGGACCTGCCACCCTGTGTGGACCTGATAGCCCACTGTAGGGACCTCATAGCCCATTGTAGGGACCTGCCAGCCTGCGGTGTGGACCCACCACTGTCTGTGGGGACACGTCAGCCTCTGTGGGGACCTGCCAGCCTGCAGTGGGGGACTTGCCACCCACGATGGGGGACCTGACAGCCCATTGTAGGGACCTGATAGCCCATCGTAGGGACCTGATAGCCCATTGTAGGGACCTGCCAGCCTGACGCAGGGACCTGCCACCCTCCTGCATGCAGAACACTCTGCCCTACCCTGTGCCAGGAGGGTGGGCGCAGCATCTGGCCCGTGTTCCCCGGCGAAATGCCACCCGCTTGGGGCCACTGCAGCCCCGGCTGTTCATGTCCCT